ATTCACTGTATTTCTGCACTTTATCCTAACGCCGTATTTGACTCTTATCCACTCCACCTGGCTTTTGGTCTGCATCCGGAGTGATCATCAACCGGACTAAACAAATACAAAGACAAAACAAATTCAACCACCGCTGTGTTCCCATCAAACCTAACCCCTACACCTGACTTCCCAACAACAGAGCAACCAGTGAGTCTGCTTGTTTTCAGGTTGCACCATATTTTTGAGACTAAACTTGCCGTGTTCTCCCAATTCGGATTATCCCATCTCCACCTCCACTTTTGCTTGTTATGACTCCGGCCATTTACCCAACCGCCCAAGGTCACTCATGGCCAGCAATGGTTTTGCAGTTTTAGTTCATGGCAGCCAACGGAGTCACTGAATTACTCGGACCTCATGCCTATTGTTCACTACAGGTTGCAAGTGAAACATATTATTATTGTTATAGTTTAATCAAGTACCTCCCACTGCCCACTGTTTGTGACATTGTCCCCTTTTCGCGCTGTCACACTTCCCGCAAATCCCTCAGTAGTGCCCCATTCTGACTGTAAACGCATGATCATGCCAGACGGCATGCCACCCACAAGTTGGGAATAAACATTATTATTATTATCTTGCATCGGCTTCGTTCTACCTCTGCGTATTTGTGGTTTTTACCACGAACTTACTGTTACTAATAATGGGTTCCGCACCTTGAGGCGGTTTGTCTGATTGCACATCATATTTGACATGCACATTCCAATGTGTCCGAAAACTTGTTTGACGGCGTACGTCGTCATGCGGGAATCTACACGTAGAAAGTGGCTGTCTCCATCGCGAATTTCTTGGTGGTCATATTACCAAGTGGTGTGCATCTCATACTCGCGGAAGTGTCATTCGCTGAGCTGAGAGACCTTCTGGACGGCGTGCTCCAGGCTACAGGCGTGACGTACGCGTCTCTTTAAATGCCCAATTGTGTTCTGCAGACCTCATTGGTCACATTACCAAAATGTACCGACCCACGCTGTGCAGAAATGGCCCGCTTTCATGTGATGTACAGCCAGTGGGTAGTCGAATGGGAGACAAACCCGGAGACGATTCTTCGCAGTATTTCTAAATCGTGGCGAAACCTACTCAAGTATAGAGTCACTTACTCAGCTGCGTTATCAAACAGGTGGAATATGTGCCGGCCGCGCTTAGAAAACGTCTGCATAAGTAACAACAACGCAGTTAACCATACGTGCTGCTGGATGGCTTTCCGTGCGTGAAAATTGCACAGCATTATATCGCAGCCAAACCCAGCTTGGACAAACCGCATCTACAAGGCCATCTTGTTATTGAGGAACGTTTTAACGTCCATTCGTCATATCCCTGAACAAGCGAAAAAGTTTGCGCAAAGGCGCAAATGCCTGCTTTCAACAAAAGCATACATTTCAGGTTGACTAAGGACCAAGCCATCCGTCACAAGGCACGCATATAGCTTGTATCTCAAAACTGAACGTCAGGGGCTCGGAGATTATTTACCCAAGACGGTTGTTCCCGCGCATGGCATCAACGTTTATGTCAGAGAAAAGTTGAAAGAGGGTCACATGCTGGTTTCTGGAAAAGCACAGCTGCCTCAAATTACCACCCTTTGATTCCATCGACAATATGCGACCACACTCTCAAAGCTCAGCTACGGTGGGCGATGTGTCATCTGGAGAACCAAATAGAAGGTATCCACCGACCTACTTAACAATGGGGGTCGGCATTTGACGCGATAATTGTTCACATCCAAAATGATCAGCGACGTACTGCCGGATCCCCGACAACCGGGCACCATCCTTACTTTAATTCATCATTTGAAGTCGCATTTCAAGAGAGAATGCCGCTGGCTCATATTCTCCTCTGCCGAAATGGACTAGTGAATGCCAGACCTTTGTGCTCAGCTGAGAAGTCACCATGATTGTCTTTAAGGCAACCACACGGTGCGGTGTACAACTGCGTGCTTCCGGTGATGGAGAAAAGTGCGCGGGCAAAATGGTTGGCTCATCGGAAGAACCCAATCCAAGTAAAAGCTGCGTCAAGGACGATCAAATCCAAAATTACTTGCAGAAATCACTCCAGATCTGGTGATTAAAACCAAAGGGCCCTTCCACAAAGCGAACGGTTGATTTTGGAACACAACAGGACACAGATAGGCGTCCACATGAAAGTGTCAAGTTCATTATTTCGACCTACGGCCTCAAAATGGTACGTTGAATTTAAAAAGAATTATAAAAGCCAAACGGTATTCATCGGCTGTAAAATGCCACACGTTCGACGACGGCCTAGCGAAGTTCAGCACGGACCCGTAAGTATCCCATTACTCTCAAGTTAACTATTGGTTTACCGTGGTCTACAGCCAACTTATGATTGTTCTCAACGTTATGTGGGGTGAGTGACAATGGTTTCTGCGCCCTCATGGACAATACAGGGCTTGACAACCGGTGCCTTGCGTACTACCGGTCCTTTGAAGGTATGCTTGGTTTTGGGGTCATCCGATGCATTTGTAGTACACCAAGTAATGAAAAATAGCGTGAGTACCTTTATGCATCTGCACACACAAATACATAATTATCTTTCAGGTGTATATTTAACGTGTTCTTAAATACTGTGAATGATCCACATTCTTAGTTGTATGCATTTTATCAGGAGATGGTGCTGCGTTTTCAAACACTTGCATGATAAGTGCCACCATAATGGTGGAGGCATCATTCTCCTTGGGGAGCCTCACGTCAGTAGCTTCGATGACATCATAAAGTTCAACGAAAATGCCGGAAAATAAGGCCAATGATGATGATGGCCCTTCCTCATCATAAACGAATACCTTGTGACCTGAAGATGATAAAATCAGTGGCAGAATATTATTTGCTTACTTGTTGTACTAGTACGACCGTAGTGGGTAGCCACCCCGTCTCACCCTCTGTAAGCCAGTAATATTGGATCGCTAATCAGAAATAAAAATGTATATTCTATTTAATTTCGTTTAGATCTTCGGATTTAGATTCCAGAACTCTATGGTTATTAATTTAACTGATTACTCACTGATTAGTCCCGTTTTTGATAATGCGGGATCTGTGTGTACACTGATGACGCCTAGATCCGGTGATTCTTCAGATAGCCGGACGCATAGAAGTTAATTCACAGAGGGGTGCGTACAAGCCGGCCTTAAAATCAGATGGCATAAACTTGATCTACAAGGTTCAGGAACCTCAGGAGATCCTAGGCGTGTATCTCTGGATCTAACAGTAGTGACGATATTGCAAAAGTACTGGTAAGTGTTGCTAAATCTTCTCCTTTAAGTCAAAATCTGGCCTGGGCAATGCAAAAACTGTGAGTTTCACACATTCCATGTCAACTGCGTGCCATCTTCCAAAAAGATTCTATACTCAATTATGGGCCCGATAGTTCACCCCTTGTAGTGAGTTCCGACAAAATTTCCCCCATTCACTCCTCTTCTCGCAGCACCAGGTACAGCTCAGTCGACCCTGAGAACACATTCAGTTAACCCTAATTCATGTGACCCTACTGCTTCCTCCAAACCCCATTGTAGGCGATGCTAACACCTTTCCATTTGGCACGATTGGCTCGACACTGAACCTATCAACAGTGCCAGAAATATACACTAAAACTTGAAAATAATAACTTCTTGTTGAACGCATGAGCCACTGACTAAGCTTGTACTGAGCGCAGCATAGGATAATGGTTCAGATGTATTATCATGTTCGTACAGAGTTGGGTGAAAAAATGCTATTTCGTGCATAACTTGACAAAGACCCATCAAATGCACGTGGAGTGACACTTCTTGGGCGATTCGCTTTGCAAGACCGCTAAGCCTTCCTTTAGATTGTAGTGCGCTGTAGCGCGCTACGAAATTAGTATCGCACAATGTGGTCAAAGGACAATCCTCATATCCACATGCGGCCAAGCCGGTTTGCAGCAATCCAACATCACTATTCCTTGCCATATCCACCAGAACCTGAGACATGACAGCCATTGAAAATATGTACCCCGCGCCCATAATGGACCCTGAGGACGCTTACACAAAGTTCACCAAAACCGCGGCTACATGGGAAGTTTAGATGCATTCGAATAAATACCATCAAACGCCAAAACATTAGGTAAGCTTTTCCTTGTTTCAAACCATGGTTTTGGGAAATTTGAGTAGTGTGTCAGGGGATCGGCTTTAAGACACAGTAGAGAGACCTCCAAGATCAGAGCGCGTCTCTCTAGAACGGAGCACTCCTTCCCGCTTGGGCGGGTTGGTATTCGGAGTATCACCCTTCGACGGTTGTCCACACTGCATAAGGCACCCAGGTCTAACCGCTGACGTGGTAATTTACAAGGGGCCTTTGATCCTGCCGGATACTGGGACCTCAACTAGTGAGGCTTAACTCCTTTTTCGTCATCTTTCAAGTGGACTGAAGTCGGCAACCAGAAAGAATTTAGCCCATTATGCTGAAGGTGTCTCCGCGACCCCCTTTGTTAGTCAGTATACCGTGGAAACCAGTTTCTGGCCTTTTGGGGGCATTTCACTGAGAATGCACAATGCCAACTTCCTGGTTCCATCACTGACCGTCCGATAATAATTCTTGCTGGAAACAGGTGCGATATCGCTGACAACGTATTTGCCGTCTGCTCCGAATTTCTGACTGAATAATGGATTTACCTTGTTCGCTTATCAGAAAAAAAACTCTTTTTCTCACTTGTGATAGTGGGCAAGTGGAAAAACCATTCTCCGATGGTTGTCCAAGCTGCGCCTAGCACTCGGGCCACATCCATTTTACGTGCTATTTTATGTGGGAGCACTAGCTGGAAACATTTTCGTCCAGCTCGTTGAACTTGGAGAGTGTTGCTACATTTTATCCTTGTAAATTTCAAGGAAACGAGAGACACTGAAAGAAAAGAAAAATCCGATCCTGGAAGTTTGGATGAAAGCCTCAATATCTTGTATCATTTCGGTAATCAGTGAGTACTGACCTTTCCATCTGACAAATCTATTGGACGAATCTGGTTCATGCAGTCTAGCGGCACAGTTGTGCCGAGCGCTAACTGCACCAGGGAACATGGCGACTGTCTTGAGTGTTTCACGTGCTTTTGCCTTTTCCAGATCGCAGTTGTCGTCATGTTTCCGGATGCTTTCGAGTTCTGGTAATAACCCCTGTGATTGTGTCATTCCTTTTCATAGGGAAAGTAGACCTCGTTGTTATTGGCTCTGGTCCGGGTGGTTATGTTGCAGCCATAAAAGCTGCCCAACTGGGAATGAAAGTAAACAACGTTCAGCAAGCTTACATTTCGTTCACAGACCGTTTGTGTGGAAAAGAACGAAACATTGGGTGGCACCTGCCTGAATGTTGGATGCATTCCGAGCAAATCGCTTCTGAATAATTCACATCTGTACCACCTGGCACACTCGGATGAAATGGCTAAACGTGGGATCGATGTAAACACAGTACAGCTTAACCTGCCCGCAATGTTAAAAGCTAAAGAAAAGGCGGTATCCAGTCTTACAGGAGGCATTGCGTACCTTTTCAAACAGAACAAGGTGCGTAAATCACTACACAGTCAGAGGCTCATAGTTCGTAGTCCGTAATCATGTTTACCCACCTCTGTTTGTGTACGCCTTGGGCCTTTCTACCTGAGATGGCTGTTTAGTGTGGACCGACTGACTGTGAACAAGCGGATGTATATTAGGGTCATGTGTGTTTGGATGGACCTGGACAAGCGCAAAAATGGTATTAGATGGGTGTACCACTGCAGTGGATACACACTCAGGACGGTTCGATGTCGTATGTGATAGTAGCCGGCTGGAAATACCCAGATAAACCTGTTTAGGGCGAAACATTATTAGCATTTGTTTATGGTGCAATCCATTCTTGAACCAATCGAGAGAGGGAGCCCTGGAGAAAAAAACGTGTTTGTGGGGCGATGCAACAGGATACCAACCGTTGGACCGCCTTGCGGTGAAATTGAGTCACAATGCTTGCCTTGGCAGAGGTTCATTTTGTTGAACGAAACGCAGGACAACAAGACGCCTGGGGGCCTGGTTAGGTAAGAGAACGCAGTGTTTGGACAAACCATAATGCGAAGGGAATAGCGTGACAAAAGTAGTATGTCATCGCTAACTTCCGCGATGACATTAGATGGCCACTGCCCTGGAAACGGATCGATGATGATCAGGCTACTGTCACGCTTTCGAGCGAGTAGCCAGCACATGAGCTGATTTTGAAGGAGTGGAGGAGGTCACAAAGCGGTGTGATTATTATGGCAAATTGCTGAACATTCTCAGACAGGTTTTCGCCCCCCTTCGTAACCAGTATATCCGGAGATCCAGGAGGGTACATGAGAACGGTTAATAAGTGGTAATAAAATGACATTGGTCAATAGAAAAATATACCATTCTGATGGCTCTTCTGGTGACATTAAGAAGGGGGAATCCTCCAGAAGTCATTATGCAGTTACAGTAGGACAAGGGTCGAGTGTTAGTGGATTGCTTGAACCAGAAAGTTCAGGAACTTCGATTTGCATATGCTTGCTCGTACTGAGAAGAGCACGTTCGCGCAGCAAACACTGGAAACATCGATCGTCTTCTTGGAAATTGTTTATATAATGAATCACAGTTCAGTGTCCAACGAATGCGGGACATCAGAGCTGATGGAGGATTTGATGGGTAGGCTTTGGTAGATGGAAATCGTTGTCGTTCAGCTGTAGTACCTTTACAGTACCCAACTGCCACGCCACCCCAAGGAAGTGCGACGGCTGGGGTACTGTCAGGTTGCCCAAGCCTAGATAGGGCAAGTCGAGAGGTAGAGGTTGGGTTCGAACCACAAACTCCCCGGTCAGGTGTCAGTGTCAGTCTCGGCTATGTAGGGGAGTTACTTAATACTGTCTATTTCATCCTTCTGGCTGCATAAACTCGTTAAAAATTTATATTCATCCATGCTCGGTGACAGTCGCTGGTTAAAACCAAAACGGGCTGATGTGACAGGGAAAGCAGGAATCCACGAAAATGACTACAGAATCGGTGTTTTCCCGGATTGAAGTACCTACAGCACAACCAAACACCAGTTTTTCAATCACCTCGTTACTAACACGCTGGCGCCATTTAAAACCAGCCACGCTTCCGAGGCATCGGCGGTTGAAAACCTGAAGAGACCTCAAATCATCTATCCGCAGTGGCCACGTCTCGCAGCCACACAATACCACAGCCTGGTACACACGACCCTTAAGATCTAGTGAGGTGCCTTTTTGACACCACAAGTGACGCAAAGTGCAAGCGTAATTCGAGTCTTTGAGATTATTGCACTGACTTCATCAGGCACACTTCTGTCAGAGCTAATACAACTACCGAGGTATGTGGTTTCCCACAATCTTCCGTGATTCACCTTGAATTGTAAGGGATATGTTCGGAGACTACACGTTCTGAAGCATGAATTTGCACTTTGAAGGTGCAAGGCGCATGCCAAAAGGTTATATAATGGTGGTCAGTCCATTCAACAGGACTTGTGCGTCACTTTGGCCCTCAAAGATGAGGGCAATGTCATCTGCGTATCCCAGATCGACAAGGCTCTCGCCAGCAACAATTTGAGCACCGGGGTTCTGAAGACCGACCAGCGTTCGCCTCATTATTTCATGAATGACGATGTTGAACAAGAATGGAGAGAGTGGACATTCTTGTTTGATACCACTTTTTGTAGGGAAGCTTTCGGCGAGCTCATTATACTCTCAGACATTCAGATGTATGTGAAAATGGGGATCGGATAATGTTCACTAACTTCTGAGGCGTACCCTGTTCAGCAACTATAGTTTGCAGCGCTGACCGATGGACAAAATCGAACGCACCCTTGTAGTCAAAGAATACCAAGATTCTGGGTCGTCTGCACATATGGCTTTGCTTTAACACCTGACAGGGTGTAAAGATGTAGTCAACGCAGCATCTACCCGGTCAAAATCCCGCTTGCTTTTCACTAGTCAAGGTTTCGTGTGCCACCTTAAGACGACGAAGAATCAGTGACACCAGAAGCCTTGTCACAAAAGGAGTCAAAGTAACAGTTCTGTAGTTACCACCCTTTTTGAAAATGGTCACTACTATCGGTAGACCCGAATAGGCTGAGGATCCCACCCCATCCTTGAAAAGAGCAGGTGGAAGGTTGTCAGGACCAACAGCACGATGACCTTTGAGTAGAGAAGGATACTCGGACACCTCTGAGACTGAGGCGGCTCCCATATTTACGGTCCACGTTTCTGTTGAAGGCCAGAATTCTGGATTGGAGGTAGCAGGTGGCCAGCTGGATTGCTGTTCCAGGTACTGTGCCCAGCGGTCCAAACGTTCTGTTTTAGTGGATATCGTGGAGCCGTTTTGGTCTCTGATTACTTCGCTGACAAGCGGTTTCCGAAGACCAGTCGAATGCACACGTTTCCAGCATTCTTGGCATCTTCCATTTCGGCCTTTCGGGTCCACCAAGCCCCTCGGTCTGTGCGGACACTCAATTTCACCTGGCGTCGGATAATGCGCCGGGTGGAGTTGTGGTGGCGACCAGGTGGAATCTGTCGCCCGGTCTCCAGCAAAGACACGGTCCTATCAGAGATACAATGTTTGGATGAGGTTGACTGGGCTGTACCTCAAAGACTTTCCGGCTTTGAATAGCAATTTGGATATATTTTCCCGGTGGTCGTACCGTCCGATACGGTACCGTCTGCTAGACATTCTAGGAGCTAGTTCTGATAGGTTCGTTTGGTTCCTGGGTCCTCTAGCTTCTCAATTGCTAAGCGAGGTGTGCGCATTTTGCGTACACCTGAGAAGCGCAATGAAAAGCAGCAGCTTTCAAGTTCATGGTCGGAGTCCACACTAGTGATCAAGAAGGAGCGGCAGTCGGTGATCTACCCCCGCCACCGAGAGCTGACAGCGATGTGGTCTGTTTGGATTCGGCGCTGGCTTATTGGTAGGCGCCACGTTTTCAAGCGATTTCCGCTGTTCCGGAAATTCGTACTGCAAAGGAACAGTCTGTGATTGGCGCAGATCTGAAGCAAGCGGTCTCCGTTGTCCGTGCATTTTGTGTCCGAACCAAGGCGACCCCCAAATCGCGCCCAAGCAGCGCTTACTTTACCTACCTGGGTGTTGATGTCACCAGCAAACACAACCATATCTGAGTTTTTTAACCCGCTGTAGAAGGACTCCTAGGGCGTCTTAGAAACTGTCCTTGGCAGATTCAGAGCTACATTCGTTGGGGCGTAAGTAGACACAACAAACAAGGCGCGATGAACCTCACTTCCTCTAAATTCTCTCAGACGATGCCAAACGAACCGCACATAGGTGACAATCAATGGGTATCCAATCAAGCAGAGAAACTCCCGCTCGTTCTCTCAACACAATACCCACACCAGAACGTCCGGCTGCAGCGGCCTCTGCATCACCAGAGGTCCGCAGCCGGAACCTGAGAGAGCGAGCGGACAGTCAGTTCGATCACAGTACTTGTAACCTGAGTCCTTGTTTCTGACAGACAACATACATCAATACAGAGGGAATCCAGCGCACGCGCAAGAGCCACCTGTTGAGCCGCTCGCTTCAGCGTGCGAACATTGAAGGTGGTTAAGTAGACAGGCCGGTGCGATCCATACTGCTTTATGGATCGGCCTATACGCGCAGACGATACACGAAAGGTGTCAGTGTTTGACCATCAGTGTCCCCCAAGGATTGCTCGGGTCTGGTTGGACAATCGGTTTGGTAATGTTGATGTACGTCTGATAGTCCTAGGAAGATGGAGCTCTCTCGCGATGGATGAATTACTCACGCTTCATAGGTTACGCTGATTAGTGCATGTACTACGCATGCCAGCAGACCATCTGCTTTGCAGAGCTATTTTCGTCCAGCCTTCTGCTGAATGGTTGACTGTGCATGATATGGTATTGAAGTATGACAACACTAACCAGTAAACTTACTCGCGCCGACAGCCACTTCTCTGTGTGTAGGGACTCCGAGGCTCAACTCGCCAATGGTTAATGACACTGTCAGAAATGTCCCAATGGTGCTCATGCGTCAAAGCTGTCGCCCTATTCCGATGTTTAGGGATTTGATACTTCGGTGACTTTTGTATTTGATTTACTGTTAAAGGGAACCTGTGTTTTGGTTGAGGACTTGCTTTCGTATCTTGTTTGTCGGCTCCGTTTTATGTATCGTCCTGTGCGATAGATGGTCCTTCTGCCAAAAGATCACGGGGCGCTAACTCGGCCGCCTTATATTTATGAAAACAAGCTCGCGCAGCGTCATCATCATCATTGTCAGCTGTAAGAACCGCGTACTCGTCGTACATTGGGTGTGGCTGCTGCAGTTTCGCTCACCAATGATTTAGGGGGGGGGGTAGGTAGCTGCGCATTGCATGCGCGAGCTAGTAAATTGGTGCATAAATCCAGCACTGTCAGTGGGCTGTCAAGTGGGGGTTGGGGTTGCAAAAGGAGCTATCCATTGAAGGCAATAGCTTTGATGCACGTGCGCCATTGAGGGCGCGACTGGGCCATGTCTGATAATGTCTCTAGCCATTGATATGGCCCGTCTCGGGGTCCCCATCCAGGAAGACGGCAGTGACCAGCGCAGCTGAGTTTGCTGGTAATGGCTTTCATACTTCGCTGCCAAGTCATTGTTTGACC